GCGCAGCCCGGGCCGCCGGCTCCGAGCGGGGAGGCCGGCTGGGGCCTCCGCAGGCCCGGCACCAACTCCGAGCGCAGTCTAGAGCTCCGCGGACGCCCCGCTCCCAGTTTTCCCACGGAAAGCTGAGGGGAGGGCGAGCCGCTCTCGTATCGTCAGCTCTGGCGCGGTGGGGAGGGGGAGCAGGAGGCAGGGACTTCGTGCACAAGGACCCCCGAGGGACCTGCAGCCCCAGCTCTCCTGGCAACGAAAAGTTGCCGGGCTGTGGGTCTGGGTCTTCCCAGTTAACTTCCTCCCCCAGATAAACGGGTTGTGACCTCCCAGCCCCTCCCAGCCCCCTTGTCCCCTCAAGCCCACCTTTCCTGGGTCCCCATCACAGCGCTTTTGGCATGGATGCCCTGCATACAACAAGCGCTTAATAAACGCACACAGTGAGCTGGTGTCGTTTCCCGCCTTCTACCCTCTGGTCTGGAGGGTGTGTGGGGGAGGGCGGGTTGGAGGCAGGAACCTCTCCTCTCACGGGCACCTCCAGCACCCAGCAGGCATGGTCCTGGGTTCAGGCCCAGGCGGGAGGGTGCCACATCGGAGGGTCGGGCCCAGCTAGGCTCAAACAGAACCCCAGAAAGCCAAGGGTTTATTCACTCGTCCCCTGTCCCCCGTCCCCTTCGTCCGTGCTCACTCATTTCAGCCTGGTCCCAGCCCCGCGCTCAATCCTGCGGGGGGGGGGGGGGTGGGGCGAGGCTGGGAAAACCCAGGCTCCGGAGCCCACCTTCAGCAGACAACCACACCCCTCACACCCAGCTCTGCCAGCAAGCAGCCGCCAGCCTTACCCAGAAGGCAGGGCTCAGAAGCGAGGGGCTGGGCCCGAGGCTCCCCACCCAGTGGGAACTACCCCTCCCACACCCCCACTGCCTCCACCACTCACAATGACCTGCCAGAGTTTGTCTAAAATTAATAAGAACGTATTAAAGTTTCATTTTTAAAATACAGCATGAATTATTTACATTGAATGTTTCGGCTCTTCTAAAAGGCTTGCCTGGGAGTGGCCTCCCCAGGTAGGGGGCTCTGGGAGAGGCTACGGAGCTGGCCTGTGTGGGCTGCACCAGAAGGGGACAGCTTGGGGCCTCAGTGGCTCCTGCCTTTCACGCCCTTACTCCAAACCCTGCAGTTGGCTGTGATCCCACCAGGGTGCATTCTCCCCAACCCAGTACCATCCAGTGGGAACAGACTCATAGCTGACCCTCCAGCAGCTTTTCAGAGGCATTAAGTCACGGCAGAACAGACTGCCCATTTTTCTCCCCTTAGAGCAGCTGGTGGATTCGAACCAAGTACCTTTACATTGACAGTTACCACTAAGCCATCAGAGCGCCCTAGGCCAGTGCCTAATACCCTTAGGCTGCCTCCTTCATGCAGCCCTCCCTGAACACTCAGTGATGTTGACCAGCTGATGCCCCTAAAGGTTCAGCCTGACTCCCTATAGCTGTCTGGACGCAGAGGACCTGGAGGGGAAGGGGTGGAGTCACATAAGCTCTTGATGTGGGCTTGACAGTTGTCTGTAACCTGGGAGTGTCCCAAGGCTGGTCAGCCAGCAACATGCAATGCCAGGCTCCTGGTAATGGAACTGGAGACCTGCTTCTGGTCTGGCACTACCATTTATTAACCACAGGACAGAGGCAAGAGTATTCTGGAGTGCCCTTTTACGGATGCGTAAACTGAGGCCAGAGCCTGGAAAGGGAAGGCAAGGGCTGAGGCCATGGCTGGGCCTGGGTTGGAGACAGCAGAGGTCGTATCTCCTGTGACAAGGAGGGGCAGGGTTGGGGGGGGGAATCTGTGAAGGACCCTCTTGGAGTTGTTGTTGTTATGTTCCATCGAGTCATGTGTGACTCATAGCGACCCTATGTCCAATAACCCTAAACTGCCCTATGCTGTGCCAATCTCACCATCTCCGACACACCTACCCCCATTAACCCAATCACTGAATCAATCCATCTCATCGAGGGTCTTCCTGACTCCTGCGCTGTCCCTCCACCCTCCCATGCACGATGTCCCTCTCTAAGGACTGGTCCCTCCTTGGAGTTGTTGTTGTTGTTATGTTGTTATGTGCCGTCGAGTCGCTTGCGACTCATAGCGACCCTA